TTCAAGTTATTTAATTTTTCTAACCATGAAAAACCCCAACAAACTGGAACTCTTCCATCCAACCAAAGATGATGGATACAAATATAGTAAATCCAAAATACTTTTCCTGAACAAAAAGAATTTTTTTTCCAGTAAGACATTTCTTGGTGTGCAGTTGTTCCCCTGATGTTAGAGCCATTCTTTGAATTGTCCAAGTATGTTTTACTGTACATATAAATAATTTAAGAAGTCTTACGGCTTCCAACAAATCCTCCTTCTGTGTGTAAAAATCATCAAAACAGATGCTGGACCTCCAAGTAAATTTCAGCTTTCCCCTTCATCTGCATCTCCTTGAATTAATCCCTTCCCCCCACCATTTGATATTTCTCTGCCAGCTTTTCCATGAATTTGATGTTTTTTCTACATTTTAGCCTACAAAAAAATGACTATAACACATTTATAGAAATCTTTCACCATGCAGACAACTGTGCAGAAGCATTTTGTCTAGAAGTGATCAAATGGCACTATTTAGTGTATATTTTAAGAGTATGAGTATTTCAACTGTTATGGTTTATAAGAAATCTAAATATACTCTAATAAGTTCTATTTTATACAACTATGCTTCAATAATCAAATCTCCAGAACAAGTTAGATAACCTTTTAAAAGAAACACACACACAAAAGAACCTAAAAAGGTGTCTGACTACATTAACAGAAGTGACAGACTACAACTAAAAACTTCAGGCACTAGTTTGAACCAGCAGGGCATGACAGAGTTTTACACACCTACATGGCTGTAGATGCATGACTGCCATGTGTGGAAATTGCATTTTAACCAGCTCAAAACACTATAGTCAATACAATTCCTGCATTTTTCTTGCAATCCAGCAACAGAAAGTACTAAGATTCTTAAGTACTTTGTAGTCAGAAAGCTCTTCTACAAATAGAGACTTAAGTGGCACAGTGCTTCATGGCCCTCAAAGAATAATAGCCATCACATTGAATAATCACCAATAATAGTATTTCCAGATTTAAGGGCAGCTGACATGGTATGTTGTAAGCAGCATAAAGCTTTACATCATTTATCATGTATCACATAATGAATCAGCATCACAAATACCAATACAGTTCAGGGAGTTGTGTATCTCACACAGAATCACAGAACGTTAGGGATT